GCACGGGGCTTCCTGGAGGCGGTGAGCGCGCGGCCCCTTCCAGCGTGTCGCGCCCGCCGCCGCCGCGCCGCCTCCCCGGGCCGTACAAACTAATAAAACCAGCTCCGCATGAATATTTCAGATGGGGTGTGCGCCAAAGGAGGGGGCGTCGGTCCACCCGGGACCCCGCCTGCCCTTTCCAAACTCGGGAAATTTTATATACTATCATCTATGTGTGTGTGTGTGTGTGTGCGTGGAGACGCGTGTCGCGGGGACTGCTGCTAACGCCGTCCTCTGTGTCCTTGTCGCAGGGGTGCGCGCCTTGGAGCCCGAGTTCCAGATGCCGCTCAAGAACCAGTCCATCGCGCAGGGCCGGGACGCCATCTTCACCTGCGTCGTCAACAACCTGGGCGGTCACCGGGTAAGTCGCGGCCGCGGTGTCCGCCCGTCCGCCCTCGCCGCCCCGTCTGTCTGTCTGTCTGTCTGTCTGTCTGCCTCACCTGCACCGTCTGCACCTAGCCCCACCTGTGAGGTGGTATCCACTTGCACTGCTTACCGTCGGGGCGCTGCACTGGGAAAACTAATGTGACATGTGTGACATCCTTGTCATGTGACCGTATTTTTGGTCACGTTTTTTGTGTGGCCTCCTATGTGTTCTGCGCGTACTTTCTTTGCTGATAATGCATGAATTGGTGCTACCCAAACTCATGTCACATTACATTGTGTTACCAGAACTGGTCACACCAATTGATGTGACACATGTCACATTAGTTTTTCAGTGTTACCGCACACCTGTGCACCTGCGGGTGGACATAGATACACCCTGCACCTGTGCACCTGCGACTGAGTGGACGTAGACGTACACCGCGCACCTGTGCACCTTGCGGGTGGACATAGATGTACACCCTGCACCTGTCCACTCCCGGTGAAAATTAATTAAGCACCTGCGGGCAATATCAAGTATCCACTCAGCACCTTAAGCACCTGTAGGTGTTTGAAATTCACTGGTTAATCAAAGGCACGGCAACATTCAAAGTGTGTCTGAGACCGACATCCCTCTACCAAAGGCACGGAAACGCTACAAATGTTTGACATTCAGTACCTTTCGCATTTTTGTGCTTTTGTGGCGGTGTGTTAGAACTTTCGCATCATTGTAAATTGCCGACTCCTACCTTTGGTTTTATTCATGTAGGTGTGTCAGCTGCTGCACCTTTGCCGTTCTCACGTACGATTTATATTTGATGTTCACTCGGCACCGCTCTATGTATACACCGGCGTGAAAGGTACTTACTCGCCACACCACCACTTTTGTGCAACTGCTTATTTTTGAGAAGTACTCCACTGCTGTCTGAAAATGTTCAACTGGACAAGCACAAAGCACATGTAGTTCAAAACCATGCTACCCTGATAAAATAATACTTCCTTCCGGGCTCTAAACGTTTGTTACGGACCATGACTCAAAATGAGTATCACCCTTCTATTGAGTCCGTTTGTTGTACAGTACATTTTCTTGGGTTGGGGTGCTGCGTGCTGCGTTTAGCTTCCGGCGTTAGCCTTCAAATTCTTCGATCCAGAAACTAAACCTGTAGACTGAAAATCCGACACTGTGCCTAGACAATGCTGATTAAACAGTTTTGCTTTGGTAGGCACAGTGATCGAAGAGCATGCTAAGCACGCTGCGTAATAAATGTGCTTGCTCTCAGGCTCACTGATAAAACAGTATTCTAAGAACCTACTTTAAAAATCTCACCGTGTACTTAAAAGTGCTCAACTTAGGACGCCAGCTAAAGATTTGACCCCTGAGGAATTTTTTACTTCCCAAACAATGCAAGTATTTGCGACACGGAGTTAAATACTTAATATAGTAAGTGCTTACCTGTAGGAGAATTGTGTCCCGCTGCCCACGGCAAATTTACAATAAAACTTGGAGCAGACCTTAATAACATGTACCCGAAAGAAAACATTTTGAGTGTCTTACTTCACAGACCCCTGCTGCGTCTATTTCAGAATTTTGAGCTCAACCTCCTTAAAAAATACAAGTAAATGGGTCTCCCGATGCGGAGCCGTTTACATTACGAGCCAGCCGTTAATGCTGCCATAACTCAGCTTGTTTGCTGATTCCTTTCTCCGGGAGCCCCGAGCGGCCCTCGCCGCTGAGGGGTTTCCTGTGCGAAGCCGAACAGGATATCCTTGTCTTGGACCGCGGCGGCGCGACACACAACCTGTCTCCAGTCCGCTCCTCGATCACGTCCTTTATTTAAAACTTCACCGAGATTCCAGGAAAATTAGCAACATCTTAGACCTAGAAAAGTTGTTCAAAATGATTGCTTCCATCAAATTTTACTTTTAAAGATTTTCTCCGCTACACATTTCAGAGTGGGTCTGGCCTCTCTTGGTTCTTTGCGAAGAGACCTCTCCACACTCGACGAATGCAGTCTTGAAACAGCTCATATTATGAACAATGCAATCTTCCAAATAATCGGCTTGTAATACAAAGTATTACTAACAAAATACACAGGAATGTCTTCGTTCTTGAATTTAGGCAAAGCTCTCGTTTGAGTTGTCAGGGTAGAACTTTTAAACCTCGAAGTTATAATGATTTTTATACTTCGAAATGACAGGTTAGTACCTCTATAAATCCGCAAAGCTATTTTTTTCCATATCTCTCCTGGAACCTTAAAGACCAGATGAGATACGTCTTTCGTAGCAGGTGCTTCCAAACTGGTCTTATAACTAAACAAGGGCCGGATGGTACCTTTTGTCCGCCATCTTACCTTTCGATTTACGAATTGGTTTTTCACTTCTGCCTTGGTATGTCCCTTTCCGCTTTGGTTTGGGACTGACTGCCCTAGCGTCATGTCGCTTTTTAAGTCTGGCCTTTAGACAGCAAAATTAGAAATGCAGACGAGCATTAAGCTGTCAACTCATATAAAAGTGTGAATATGTAAAACTCCTGGGCGAGCTTTGTGGTGTGTGTGTGTGTGTGTGTGTGTGTGTGCGTGCGTGCGTGCGCTCGAGCGTGCGCCTCCGTGTGTTTGCGTGCTTCTGTTGACTGCGGCAAGGGCAAAAATTATAAAACAAGTAGCCAAGACCCCAAAATTATTTGGTTTCAAAAGATGAACTCGTTCTTTACCACCAAAAGGTTATAACTTCGGTAAAAAGTCGATACTCCCTATCTAAAGTCGCTCACCGCCTCGGCGGCTGGGGACATCCGCTTACCGCGTTTGGCCCGCCCGACAACCGCTTACCGCATGGGAGGCTCTGGATAACCGCTTAAGTCGCTTTTTTGCCGAAATTGTAATATTGGTATCATTCGAAAGAGAATTTCCGCCTCTTTCCAACGATACCAATATTACAATTTCGGCAAAAAAGCGACTTAAGCGGTTATCCAGAGCCTCCCATGCGGTAAGCGGTTGTCGGGCGGGCCAAACGCGGTAAGCGGTTGTCCCCAGGCGCCGAGGCGGTAAGCGACTTTAGATAGGGGGTATCGAAGTGTAATATTTTGTTTTGTAATTCATATGTTTTGATTGTCGACTTCAGTCTACCACAAGATTTCACCTGTTTGCTTCACTTTATGTTGTGATGTACCCAATGTACAAACCACTAGAATAACAAAATCACGCACATGAACTTATTTGGCTCAATTTTAAATATAATATCACAATAAACGGATGTACGTTACACTCTCAAATGTAAATAATCAATTTAGAGGGAAGACCTCATTGCAACCAAGACCGAAGTGTGAGTGGGGCTAAGATGACGCACAACGGTCTGCCAAACCTCAAACGTCATACTAGGGCCCTTCACTTCTTATTTAATAGAAAAAACATTCAAAAAGTAAAAAAAAAAAAAAAATATTTCGGGGAGAGTTCTGCGACTTGCTCTTTCTGTTAAACCAAAACCCAAACCATGGAGCTTTTGTGGTTATTGAGATGAAAGTGTGTGACATTTCACCTCACCAGGAACAATACTTCTTTTTCTTACCGAAATTATGAACCTATCATTGGGGGAGGGGGGGTAAAGAACTAGTAAAAGTAACACTATTAGGTTCCCGACGATGCGTGACCCCGCCAAACTTCAACCTAGATACTTTAAGGTTTGAGCCGTCCCGCCGTGAAAAAAAGAACTGTAACAAATTACAGTAATTTTATAACCCACACTCTTGTAAATAACTCTTAATGCGCACCATTTGTTGCACTTAGTTTGATCACACGGAGCACCTTATAGCTCGCGAATCTTAGCCACGCTGTTGTCAGCCCACCGCTGGTGTGTCGTAGAATCACTCACTACTCTTGCGCACAGATCGCTCCGTTGCCTGTATTGATTATATCTTCTTTGTGTAAGAACAAAACTTGTACTGGCGTTTAAGATACCTTCTTACCATTTTTCTACATTGCAAAATCTTTAATAATATTAATGCTCTCTGTTGCAATTTTACCCTTCCACCAGCAGAAGTCACCTTCTTCAGCTCAGGTATGTTCGCAATGCACCGATGCCGCTCAGCGGACACCCGGTCGCTCACTGGCTAAGCTAAAGCGAAGCCCATTACTTCACTGGCCCCCAAAATTGAATTATGTTTGTCTGTATGTTTCTGCTAATTTCAGGGTCATTTTGTAATATTACAAGACTGTTCGCTTTCAATTTTTTAAAGAGATAACTCGTCATAGTTGCATCCTTAGGGCCAACCAAACTTTCGTCCCTTTCACCATAAAGCGCTTGGTTTTACTTTGGAGACGAAAATAGGAGAAAAGATCTTAATTACAGAATTGATCCGTTGCGATTTATTAATATTATACCTTGTCATCGCACAAATACGATGATAGTTTACCGACGCCCGCCCGCCCCCTCTCTCGCCCGCCTCACGGCAGCGTGAAACGGCCTATAATTCTTAACTAGCTCAGCTCCCCACTGTGAAATGCTTGCAAGCTATACTCTTTGCAGCGTTGCAAAGCATTCGTTCGAATATTGCAAAGAAATTCTTTGCAAGTCTGTTAGAATCCTTGCAAACAATGTATTTGCATCGCAAATAGATAGTTAGGCTTGCAAAGAACTAGTTCGTGTTAAAAATTCCTCAGAATTCTTTGCAAGCTGCAAGGAAAATCGATTGCTTAATGAACGTTTTCTTTGCAAGCATTTCGCAGTTCTGACCCGTTCGCCGCATGAATCGGTGTTGCGTTTGCAGCCGGCAGCCGCCAGTGAGAGAGGACGGCGGACGCAGCCTGCCAAACACCGCTGCGAGGGGCACTGTTAAAAGCACGGTGAATTTTTAGCAGATGATACATTTGTAACTGAAACTTTGAACATTTCACATCATAACTGAAATTAAGGGGGCAGACCTGTGTAATGTAATGTAAGGGTTTGCAAGAATTGTCACTACATAAAAACGGCTTGGCCAGAGCTCGGCTGAAAATGCAGCTCAGAACTCGTCCCTGTTTGGCTCGGCCGCCCGGACGCTATCATATCATGCTGTTCTAAACACTGAAGGAGAAGAAAACGGCAGTGGGGAACTTGTATGATAATAGCGGTATAAATAGCAACAAAGTTCTATAAATTTGGGTGTTTGATCTTTGAAACCTCCACATCCTGCACTGAAATAATATATTGCAAGGCTTGATCATTACATACGTATCATCTGCTTCCACGATCCGTGCCTTGATTTACCGTAAGCTACGGCAAATGTCACGGTAAGCTTCAGTAAATTCGAGGTGCATCACCGTAACTTACAGTGATATTCACTGAAGCTTACAGTAAACGTGGACCGTGAGAGCTGCAGTGCTGCAGGGTTTACTGTGGCTGCCGGTAAAATTGACTGTAATGCTTCTAACAGTGGGGAGGAAAACGAGTGGAGCAAGCAGGGGAATGAAGCCTTGTGTTCCGGTAGTGACAGTTTTGAGACGAGAGGCGAGGAAGAATAGCTACCCCCCCCCCCCCCCCCCCCCTCTGTCCTCCTTACCGCCACTTGATGCCGCCCGAGGCAGGAGACGGCAGAAGCCATCCCGCTACGCCCGACCAAGCGGAAGATTCTTAACGAGACGACCGACCTCGTTGCAATCCGTAGACTAATTGGAACATCCCACTTTTAGACCAGTCGTCTGCGCAAGGAATATCGAGCAGGCTTACGCAACGGGCGGTGTGTGTCTGGTGCTCAAGCAGAAGTTTCGTTGTTGAGTTAAGGACTAGAAGTTGTCAAGTACGAGTGTTAGGGATGGAACCACTCGGAAAACTCAACGGTGTACGTTGTATGCTGATATATCAGCAATCATTTATGACCACGTTTAGGTTTTTGGCTAATATATCCCTCCAGACAGATAATATATTTAGAGGCAGAAGCTCGTTTGAAAGCTATTTTCATGAGGATTCTGGAAACGCTATCCAATTCTAAATATCATCTGTCTGGAAGGATATACTAGCCGAAAACCTGAACGTGTTCATCAATGATATATCAGCAATGTACACTGTTGAGTTTTTAAAGGGAACCTCAGCTATGGATCGTCCGACCAATTATACTCCGACCTGTTGATTTTTCCTAAATCCCAAACCTCCGACCTCGTCGATATGCTGAAATTTGGGAAGAATGTGCTTTAAAGAGGAACAGGTTTCAAAAATAAAAATAAAAATAGGGCTACAGAGAAAATTAGGTCAGACAAAACATAGGTCGGACAGCACTTTTGGGGATTCGTGAAAAATTACCAGATCGGAGAGAAATAGGTCGGACAATCTAAATACACCCCCCTAAGGGTTGGGGCAGGAAAACAAATGGCCGGTCTGTTGGTGAAGAGACAATCGAGCTGCGATAGCAAACACAAAATGGCACAAGCATCAAAGGCAAAAAACTGGTATCTTCAATTTCAATAGGCCTAAAACTAAAAATTGACTTTTCAAAACTGCAACGTTAATCGACCATTTCAAAACTAAAACGACAACCTTTTTCATAACGGGCAGCTTTTAGTCTCGGGCAGAGATAGCCACCAATCGACCAACACGTTGTACAGCCAAGGAAAGTACTGAAAAATCCGTTAAACATAAAATATTATTTAAGATTATTAAATTTCAACCAGATTTTTTGGACCGCATAGCTGCGTTTTCGGTCAGGTATTCTTTTGATCGTCGTTTGTTTGATAGGTCCGCATTGTCAACTTTCAGTGACGTTTGAACTTGTGCTTAAGTCACGCGCCTGCCTTCACCTTGACGTGTGCCATTGCCTGTTATTGCCTGCCACGCCGGACGCCTCTGTTGGGACAGCGCCTCTCATCGCCCGGGGGTGGACCCAGGGGGGTTGGG